CACCCGGAAACACGAACTCTCAACCCACAAGGGGTGCTTGCTGTGGGGAAGCCGGGTGGTCATCCCCTCGCCTTTAAGGGAACGGGTACTCACCGCCCTGCATGAGACACACCCCGGGGTGGTGCGGATGAAAGCCCTGGCCAGGAGCTACGTGTGGTGGCCGGGACTGGACGCCGACATTGAAGGGGTAGTCAAGAGGTGCCAGCCATGCCAAGCCTCGCGGCCGGAACCACCCCGAGCGCCCGAGAGGGCCTGGGAATCCTCCCACCGTCCCTGGTCCCGCCTCCATCTGGACTTTGCGGGACCCTTCCAGGGCAAGCTGTTCTTCATCCTGGTGGACGCATACAGCAAGTGGCTGGAAGTGGTCCCAGTGCCCTCCACATCCTCGCAGGCCGCAATCCGGGCCATGTGGAGGATCTTCAGCGGCCAAGGGATCCCCGACACGCTGGTCACGGACAATGGGACCGCGTTCACCTCTGCCGAGTTCCAGGCGTTCACCAGGTACTACGGGATCCGCCACGTCCGATCCGCCCCGTTTCACCCCGCTACAAATGGCCAGGCGGAGCGCATGGTGCGCACCACAAAGGACGCACTTCGCCGACTGGACTCCACCGATTGGGACTATAAACTAGCCGCTTTCCTCTTCGGACAGCACACCACGCCACACTCCACGACCGGCCGCACCCCAGCCGAACTACTGCTGGGCCGTCGCCTAGCCTCCCGACTGGATCGGTTACACCCAGATCGGGCAACCCCGGAGGCCCCGGGCACCGAGACGTACGAGCCGGCCAGAGGGTTCTTTCCAGAGGACCCGGTGTACGCCCGAAACTACGGCCGGGGGCCTCAATGGATCCCAGCCCGAGTCATACGGGTCAAGGGCCCCCGTTCATACGAGGTCTCCAGCGAGGACGGCCAGATCCTCCACCGGCACATAGATCAGCTGCGCCGTCGCACGCTACAGCTGGACCCTGAGGATCCGGACGAGGACCCAGAGCCTGCCACATCGGCCCCACTCCCGGCACCGGATCCACAGCCGCCTCTCCGTGAGGAACCCGAGGCACCTCCCACCGTGGTGCCAGACTGTCCTGCCTCCTCGGCGCCCTCGCCGCCTCCGAGCCCCTCGGCTCCCAGGGCCCCCGAGACTGAACCCATCGCTACCCCGGAGCCCCGACGCTCGACGCGCCCCAAGAAGCCACCCGCCTACTTGAAGGACTTCGTCTGTGGGTGCCTTCTGAACCAAGGGGGGAGGGGTGTAATGTATTCAGCCTGACATGCCCGGACTTGCCCGGGCTGGCCAGGCACAACTCTTCAATAGCTTCATGTCCAAAGACAATGGGTCCGTAGGATCCTAGCCGGCCCTATCAAAGGGCCAGCTTCTCAGCCGGGAGACCAATGGTCGCCCGGTTACTGTAAATAGCCTATCGGGAGTAGGGGGTGTGTTTAGGTGTACTTGGTGGCGGGTTTTCTGAACCTATATAACCAGCCTGCGAGCTGGTCCCTTCGTCTTTGTCCTGAACTAAATAAAGGTATGCTTAGCTGAAATCACTCTCCGTCTGCATACTTTTCAGGCTGCCAGGATAAAAACATCATCGAAAAAGGGCTGGACCCCGGGAATTCCTTTGAGGAGAGAGGCCATTAGGTTTTGGAAGATTCCCGGGGCTAGCTCTACGCAGACAACTCCAAGACAACCCTGCGGTGGACTCAGCCGTTTCCCTCTGTGTGCCCCATGGCTTCTAGAGCCTCCTGTTGAAATGTGTTTTCATGGATGCACTTTAACCTCACCATACTTCAACCTCAGCCAAAGTTTTGCTTGTTCGATTATATATCCCTCTCTAACCCATCTTGACGGAGTCCCATCTCATAAGGTCTTAAGAGAAGCCATGCTGGATCAGGTCAATGGCTCACCCAGTCTGTGTCACACAGTGGCCAAAACCCACGTGCCATCAGGAGGTCTACCAGTGGAGCCAGAACTCCAGAAGCCCGCCCACTGTTGCCCCCCCCCCCAAGCACCTAGAATATGGAGCACCACTGCCCAAGAAACCGAGTTCCATCTATACCTTGTGGCTAAGAGCCACTGAAGAACCTCTGCTCCATATGTTTATCCAACCCCCCCTTGAGTTTGTCTATGTTTGTAGCCGCCACCGGTTCCTGGGCTCTGAATTCCATGTGCTAATTACTCTTGGGGGGTGAAGGAGGCACAGAGAACATTGGTGGCATCCTGAAACGGTTCCAGGATGCGCACCATCTGGGAGAGGGTCAGCCAGCCATTGGAGCTGATGCTGAGCTGGCCCTCCCCCTGCTGGATGGACATGGAGGGCAGGGTTCTCCCTGCACCGTTCACTCTTCTGCTCTACCAAGTGGGCAACCCTGGCGTAGGTGGAGTTCCACCGGGTGCCAACGTCCTGGAGGAGGACATGTTCTGTCTCATCTACTTCACCCTGCCTCTCCCTCTCAGCAGTCGCAAAGTCCTGAGGCTTCTCAAGAAGTGCCCTTCCCAACGCAGCAGTTCACTGATCTCAGTGATGCCCTCCCCACCCCTGACACTGCCCCATAGCCCCAGGGCATCCCTCACCACCAGGCAAAGCTCCATACAAACAATGTTTGTCAGTTTGGCCTTATGCATGTTTGGGCTGCCATCTGTGACCAGGTGGCCATGGGTGGTCTTTTTCCCCTCCAAACCAGTCCCTCAGACTACTTTGAATGATCACAGCAATATTCACTGCTGTGCGCTCCACGTCCATACCCTGAGCATGGAAGAGTACCGCATTGTAGCCATATGGAAACATGCTCATTCCAGCTTGGGGCATGGCCCCCTGCCCATTCTGGAACTCCTCCAGTTGTCACCAGTGTGCAGTGAGGGAGAGGTAGCCATGGTGGCAGCTGGTCCAAAGGTCGGCCGTCAGGTGGATGGTCCGCCCTCGTGCCTTGGCTAGCTTGGCTTTGACCAGATGCTTCACACGGCAATACCACTCTGTGGAGGGCACCACTCGCTGGCTCATGGTCCTCCTGGAGGGGATAGTGTACCGGGGGCCACACACTGTAGAAGCCAACATCCTCCACCAGAGAGAAAGGCTGGCCATCCAGGGCAATCAACCACCCGATGTGCTGAGTGATCACCTCATGAGCCCTGGTCCTCCTCCTCCTCCTCCTTGGAACTGGGGAGGACCCCAGGAGCATGGTGGCTTGCCTGGGGGAACCCATGGCAAAGGCCAGAGACCCCATCGTAATGGCCTGCCCCTCCGGGCCTCCCTCTCCCCATGCCCAGCAGCAGACTCCAGGGGTCCAACCTCCAGCAGTGTCAAGCTGGAGTGCGGCCTACGCAAGTGCCCCTGTGATGCTCCCCTATGAACACCTGGTGCTCCACCACACAGGGATCACTGGGTGGGATGTGGAAGTACTTGCACGCAGCAGACTGCAGCCAAGTTGTTGCTTGAGATGCAGGGAAATGCAACAATGATGGACACTTCAGAGAGAGGGAACCCCCAAGGCAGAGACTCAAGCAACCCAGGAAGGGGGGGAGGAGCAGAAAGGGAAAACCCATATCCAGTGAAAAGGGCAGTTAGCAAAAATCCCAGAAAGTGGTGGGTAACTTAGGTGCCTTGTTGGGCAGGGGAGAGAAGGAACCCCAAGACAGAGACTTAACTCAGGAGGGGGGGGGTGTTTTTGGAAGGAGCAGAAAGGGAAAACCCACAGCCAGCAGGCAGATGAAAGGGCAGTTTGCAGAACCCACAAAAGTGGTGGGGTCACTTGAGTATTTGAATTGCAAAGGAAACAGGCTACCTCAAAGTCAAAACGAAAATGTGTTGTAAAAGCAAAAAAAGTACCTAAGTTTCCCACCCTTCAAATCAAAGAAAGAGGCAGGAGAGGGAAAGGAATTGTAGCACTGGAATGCAGGGAAGGGAAATAAGGGGGGGAAAGAGGATGATGCTTTTTAGTTTGGCAGTTTGTATCAGGGCCAGGGGATCCAGCAGGGTTTTACACCCACCCCAGGCCCAGCAACAGATATTTTTCTCATGATCAAGGAGAACAAGACTTGCAAACACTTGATGTGAACAAGGGACAAGAGCATGCCTCCAGTTATTATATACATGCCCCCTCCCATCCCGAGGGAGAAGGATGTCTCTCATTGGAAATTGGACTTGCCTGTCAGCTTTGGATGGTCACTATTGGTCCCTCAACAACTGGAAAATCCCACCCACACCTGCTTTTTGACATGAAACTCCATGAGTGGGGTTTCTTTGTTGAGAATGTACAAGCCGGGGTTTCTTTGTTGAGAATGTACAAGCCGGACCAAGAACCTCAGAGACTTCCAGGTCTGAACACGTGACCTTCAAGCCAAGCTGTCTAAACCTCAAACTGGGCCAAGTTTGGGTCAGATTTTGGGCCGGTATCCAGGTCTGTGCCCATCTCTAATATCCTGCTTCTCTGAGGGAGGAGTGCAAAGCAAATGCAGAAGATTGGAATCTGCAGAATCCGGTTGGTTGTCTTTTGATAAAAGGGAATGGTTAGGAACACTTGAAGATAGCTTATTTTTCCTGTGAGCTGCTTTCCCCTGTAAAGTAGGTTGATATAGATTTGGTTTTGGATTTAACTGATAGAGGGATATCCTTCAAATGTATTAGGTACTGAAAATTCTACTTGCTTAGAAGCAATGGGGCATTTCCCTTTTTTCTGTGTCCTCCTCAAGTTCAAAGGAACAAGAGAGGCTAGAACTGGGTTATAAAAGCATCTCAGGATGAATGTCATAAGGACCGAACTGTTGCTGATTACTCAAGATTTGGGAGGGAACCTTATAAGTAAACAAAGGGTCAAATGTTTTACTCCAAATGAGCTCGGCAGTCTGTCAAAATGTTTAAGATCCATAACTCATGGATCAAGATTTAACAGGTTGAATCTTTACATAAGCCAGAGTTCCACCCCCCAAAACATAGCGAACTGATCCATTCTGATGCTTCTATATGCCGATGATACAGTTATCCTGTCAGGTACTGAGGTAGGACTGAAAAGGGCCCTCCAAGCACTTTCATCATACTGCATGGAGCAAGACTTATCTATAAACTTTAATAAAACTCACAGAGACCCAAGATCCATAGATGGCCACTTGATAGTACAAGTTAATGTGTTCAGATACTTAGGAGTTGTTTTTCAATCTTCATGCTCCTGGACTGCCCATTTATCCAGGCTAAGAAATCAGCACAAAAAAACAGCTTTAGCCACACTGAGATTCTTCTGTAGAAGAAGAGAAAGTGGAGATTGGATTTATACCCCACGGCCCTTCACTACCCAAAAGAGTCTCAGAGTGGCTTACAAACTCCTTTCCCCTCCCCGCAACAAAGACCCTGTGAGGTTGGTGGGGCTGAGAGAGCTCTGACAGAAACTGCTCTTTTTTCAAGAACAGCTGTGCCAGAACTATGGCTTGGCCAAGGTCATCCAGCCAGCTGCAAGTGGAGGAGTGGGGAATCAAACCCCCGATTCTCCCAGATTAGAGTCCGCGCACTTAACCACTACACCCAACTGGCTATAGGGGTTTACATTCCCTATGCCCTGAAGGTTTTTAAGGGCAAGATGATACCACAGCTTCTATATGGTGTATTCCTTTACAAGAATTACTCTAAATTAGAGGCAATTCAATCAAAATTTCTCAGATCTCTACTAGGTGTACCAAGATGTGTCCCTAATGCTCTCCTCAAGCTAGAGGTGGGACAACTCTCATTGAAAATTCGAGCCTGGTTCTATACCATATGCACATGGCTCAAGTTAAATCCCCCCCACCCCAAGGTCTGGCCCCGCTAATTCTTTTAGATAATTTTCGATCAGACTGGGTTTCACAGCTCTTTTACAACTTGGATATAAAGGAGCTAAAGAAATAATCAAACAGAGGTTATGGGATATCTTCTTATAAATAGACCTTTTGAGAATCTCATACTCCCCTACGGTGGGAAGCAGATGACAAAATTTTATGATTCCTATTTCTTCTTATTGGAATTCCTGAAACATTGAAGAGCTTTCACCTTAGCTCGGCTTAACTTTCTCCCCTCCGCCCTACTTGAAGGGAGGTATGCTCAGACTCCATAGATATACTGCCTCTGTCCGTGCCAGTCAGGTTTGACAGAGACAATTGAGCATGTCATTCTATATTGCCATTTCTATCAAGAGATGCAGGGAAAATATCTTGCCCCAATTATAGCACTGTATCCAGGTAGAACAAACCAATTTTTATTCTACTCTTCTCCTAGCAGATTGCTGTAAAGAAATTACTGCCAAGGTGGCAAGATTTTGTGCTTGGGCTATTTTAATGAGGTAGAGATTTTTTTTTTCTTACCCTAACTCAATCCTAAAATATTTTACAAATCTGAAAAGTCTGTTTATTTAATATTTGCTTGCTTTAATTGCACATGTCTAGATGGGTATGTTGGATAACCAATGGGTATATTGTATATTTGTTTTAATTCTGATCTTGGATCATTAAATAAATGAACTGCACTGAACAGAAACCCTAGATATTACCTACAATTTATTGGCCCAGGGTATTACTCTGCATAGTCAGAAAAACTCTATAAGGGTCTAATCACATAGATGGTGAAGGGAAAGGAAAGACTGGAGCGCCTGAGCCCCTCTAATAGGTCCTTACTAGGACAAGGAGCGGATTCACTTTTCCTAGGACAATTGTTTGTGGGACCAGAGTTAAAAACTGATTGCTCCCTGTGGGGAGAAACGCCATTTTATGCCTATGTTTAAGTGGGCGGGGGCCGTATAGGAGGGGACCATGAAACCTGAGGTAGGCCTTGGCCTAGTCTCCTCCTCATCCCCCCCCCATCTCCAACCAGCAGTCAGAGGGCAGCTCCCTAGAGAGGACAGGAAGGCCGTCAAGGCTGTGAGGAGATCTGCCCCAGAAGGCTGCGGGAGGGAGAGGGACTTCCTGGGCGGGAAGGGCTGCTGGAGAGAGGGGAGCTTTTGGGCGGGAGGCCAGCCTGTCGGGAGGGAGGTCGGTCTGTCAGGAGGAGGCAGGCAGAGAGGCCCTGCTGGGAGTGGGGCCAACCTGACCTCCTCCAGTGGAAGCGAAGTCCGTGTGCCTGCCCTGCAGACCCTCCAGGCAGGGCCTATCAGTGTAGAGAAGGGGGGGGGGAGAGAGACGGAGCGGTTTAGTCTTCACCTTCATTTTGATTCTTCAGTTCACTGTTAAGATGCCTGTATGTAGTTGAGTGGTTTCAAAATAAATCCCTTTCACTGCTGGCATTGAGAAGTCCCTCTGCACTGCCTAGTTCCCCCAGCCGCTTGGGCACGCCGGGGGTGGGCTGGGGACTCCCTGAGGAGGAGAACAAGGGCAAAACGGCCAGTTGCCAACTCTCCAGGGGAGCCCCGGAGATTGCCAGGAAGCCCCGAGGTGGGTTCCTAGCGACCATCAGAGAGAGGTCAGGAGGCTGCCTCGCCTAACCAGAGCCCAAGACAGGGACAGTGGTGGCAGCGATACCCGGAGGCAGTGGTGAAAAACTGCCCCTTCGGGTGCCAGGTCAGGCAAAGGAGGGGTGGGCAGAGCGGGGTCGGCCAGCTGACGCGGGCCCATTCCACCACACTCCCCAAGCGAGTTAATTTTCTCAAGCTTCTCAGCAATCAAAAACATTTGTGAAGCAAGAAGACGAATGATTTCCAGTCTGCTTAGGATCTATGTACCTTGCTCCTGGTAAATGGGCCCCCTCAGATAGTGTAGGTCTGATGCTGGAGATGGGATTTAATATAGAGTCCTCATTAGGGTGGAGCTGTGGTGGCTCAAGTGGTTAAGACGCTGAACTGCAGGCTGTGGAAGGTCGGTAGTTCAGCAGTTCAAGACCCGGGTGCCGCATGACGGAGTGAGCCCCCGTCTCTAGTTCCAGCTCCTGCCAACCTAGCAGTTCGAAAGCAAGAAATTGCAAGTAGATAAATAGGTACTACTTTGGTGGGAAGGTAACAGCGTTCCGTGCGCCTTGGTGTTTAGTCATGCCGGCCACATGACCACGGAAACGTCTTCGGACAGCGCTGGCTCTTCGGCTTTGAAACGGAGATGAGCACCGCAACCCTAGAGTCGGATTCGACTGGCTTTCGAGCAAGAGAACCTTTACCTTTACCTTTTACCTCATTAGGGCAGGGCATTTCCTTGTCCTTATCTTTATCCAGGACATTATCTAGATGCTCCTCTTGTAAAGCCTGGAATCTGCTAGAGGATTTTACCCCAGAACTAAATAAATTATCTAGTTTACTCTGTTTAGATACAGTGGAATGTATAGGATCAAAAGGACAACCTCTCTTGCTGCTCATAACTGTGAACAAATAAGACCAATTACCTTAAATATTATTACCTTTCCTCTTTCCTTTCCACTATTCCTCTCACTTTTCCTCTTCTACCCCTTTCTGCCCCTCCAACCCCTCACCCTCTCCTCCCTTTTCCCACCTTAACTATCACCCCCTCTTCCCTTATCTTAGAACAAAATATCCTTAAGCAGGTGTAGCCAAATTAGAACAGCTAATACTAAAATACTAAAATATAGGACTCATAGAGGAATTTCAGCCTAAAATTAATATAAATTCTATTTCTATAATTACTTTTAATTTAAATTAAGTCCCACTATCGAATATCCTAACATTGTTAAAAGTTAAAGAATAATTTAAAAAGTTAAATTAAAATAATAGTTAAGAAAATAAAACAGTTGGAAACAGTTAAAATAGAATTATGGGGAGATAAAATTGAATGGGTTAAAGAGGTTCTGACTCTGCGTTAAAATAGGTTAATACATTAATCCTATCTAATTATACTTAAAAGTTAAATCTCAAACAACACAACTGCTCTTTCCAAGGTCAGCATTATCAAAGCAGCAGCTGAGAAGAACAAGCACAAAAGGGGAGTCAGGGAACTCCCTAAGCATAACTCCCTAAAACCTAAGGTAAAATAATTGAACGGCAGACAAGAACATGCAAGTCCTATCTAACCAAAACAATAAAAAAGAGGAGGGAAGTACATAAATAAGAAAGAAAACATAAAAGAAGCTCTTGTGAAATCCTGCCACAACACTTCTCACAGGCAACTGGAACCAGAACCAGACATTGGTTACACAAGCTTACTTGTAGCATGGTATCAAATCAAACGTCAGGACAATGTTGCCTTTAGACCTTTGAAACAACTGTATTCTGTCTGCCTGAATTAGGGTAAGTGTACTCAGAAGCTTTTTTATCAAAGATAATTGATTTTTAAAATTTCTAAGAAGATGTTGGTTGGTTTTTAAAAATTAGCACAGTAACATCCTGAGTTTTAAATATTGGTTTATTCCTCATCCAGCATGCACCAGACAAAGTTTCCCCTCCCTCCCATTCCCTTCACTCCAGAAGGGAAGTGGTAGAAGCACATACGACTGTTGACAAAACTTAAAAAAAAAAAACCAGCCTTGTGAATAGAAGACAGACATCTACTAAGCAAAGCACAGAGAGTTCTAAATATAGATGAGTCAAATGCAGGATGAATAGAACAGATCACAGGCATTAAAATGTGTAATCCCATTAAATACCTGTTCTCTAAACCTGCCTTTCCCTTGACATATTTATACAGCTCAGTTTCAAGGAGGGTCCAGATATTTGCAGCTTTCCCCTGTCTGTGTTGCTTTGGTGAAAGAATTGTAAAACAAAAACAAAAAAGGCAGACACCTGCCTTAATGGAAGGTCAATGAAACTCTCTGGGTTTGTTGGATTGTGCAGCGATAAGCAAAAAATTATTTTTTATCCCAGCAATTACAGCATTATTATTGTTAAATGCAATTCTTCACTCCTTAAAAATAGTAAATGTAAGTATACTTTAAATTTTTTAAAAATCTGAAACCTGTATAATGTGCACATGGAAGTGTGTGTGAATTTACTAAGAAGTTAATTAACAGTTATAAAAAGTTTATCTCTACAAATCTCTGGGGAAAATTTCTTTTAGCAACTGTAGCTCTGTATATAAGTAACCTACAATAACTATGGGACATTTTGGGTTAGGGTTGGGGGGGAGGTAAGGATATTATGGAAGCCATAAATATATTAGTTGAGAACACAAATGCCCAGGAAAAAGTAAACTGGCTGAAGGTGTTCTGTCAATTGGTAATTCTGTTTGCTGAATTGAGCATAAAAACCAATATGGACACCTACATATAAACTGCTTTGCAAACGTGTCCCTGATGTCAACATGCTGACTTGAGCCTCAATCTTCTGGTGATTGGATTAGGAATCCCTGCCAGGAGTTTTCAAAATGTGTCAGCTGCTTTGCCCCTCATTGCAGCAGTCTACCAATCATATTTGCAACAAGATTGCTGGCAATATTGTTTACTGTTGTGGGTTTTTTCCCGGTCTACAAAAGCGGCAAGGGGTTGCAGAGCTGTGAGTGTCCTTTTTGGAGACAGGCGATGGGGAGAAATTATCCTCTGCTCTTCTGATAATCTAAAAAAAAACCTGGAAGCAATTGGAGTATTTGGATCACTCCAGCAGGATTTTATTTTAGCCACACTTGTGTAGTGTGTCTGTATAGGTGAGGGAACCCAAAGAATCTTTTTCTTTTCTGGAGTGAAAAAGCATCATGTGATCCATCCTTCTGACTTTTTTTTCTTTTCTTTTTTAAAGAAGGGGGGTTGGAATTCTGTCAAAGTGATGTCCAAGTGCTGAATCAGTCTTGGAAATCTGATAGCATAAGACGCTGTTTTTCTCAGAAAGAAAGAGCACCATCCCAGAAACCAGAGAAAGAGAAAAGTTGCTGCTTGCCAGCAAATTGCTTGTTTGATCTTTTCCTAGCTCTTTCCCATAAGAACTGACTCTGGATTTCCCCACTTTACAAGAGCCTGGGTGGTTGCAGTGTAATCTTGCGGTCATCTGTAAATGTCCCACCTGAATCTGTGGGGAAAGAGGAATGAGAACAACACTGCTCAAAGACTCTTAGGCTGAAGCAATGCTGTTGACATTTCATTTACTAATTTCCAGAACACTAGAAAAACTTGGATCCAGCTGACTAATTAAATGCTGAAAGACCTCTCCCCATATTTAATAGAATGTGGAGAGGGTCAAATTAGGAAGGATTTTCCTCCCTGCCATTCAGGTAGGTTGGGATGGTGGGAAGAGAGATCTGATGTAGACTGCGTGTGTGTGCCTCGGTATCCTTCCTACCGTCAGTCTGACCCATGGTGCATAAAGCCTGGGAACATCCGGAAGTGAGAGCCCTTTCCCTTTGGACATTCCAAGTAGGCTGTGTTGGATTTGCATATGGGCAAGGGGGTGCCCTGCACACGGAGGGTGGGCTTCTTCAGACGTTATCTCCTGGACTGTATGGCTGTGATTCATCATACCTGGTAACCCCCTTATTCTTCTGGACCTTAGTGAGGTGGATTTATGTGTATGTTGTGTATGGTTTGTTGTGAATTAAGTTCATTTTGGTCTGTGATATTTTCTGGGGATGTTATGTGTGTTTTCTTGAGAACTTTTTTCTAGAACAGTTTCTAATTCAGGAGCCAAGCCATCCGATGTCTTGACACTATTTCACGTGCCTGTTGTATGTGTTCTGTTGTGAACTTTTGTAAGGAATACCATTTCTTATAGACGTTAAGCAAGCTGTGTGTTAAGGTATTTTGCATGGATGTTGTATATGCTTTGATGTGAACTTTTGTTGAGAACATCATTTCTAATTCAGGAGTCATCCCAGCTATGTCTTAGGGTATTTATTACGTTGAGCACATTTTGTTGGAAACTTTTGTTGTGTGTTTTGTGGTGAACTTTTTGTAGCTGAGCATTATTTCTAATTCAGGGGTCAAGTGAGCTGTGTCATAGGATAGTTTACATGGTCCTTGTGTGTGTTTTCTTGTGAACTTTTGTAAATGAACCCCATTTCTAATTCAGGAGCCAAGTGCGAGGGTGTCTCAGGGAGAGTCTGTCTTCACACTCACCCCACCACCCCACTCTTTTGCCCTTCAGATTTCCACCGGATTTGCTTCACACATTGTGTCTGTCTCCTCTGCGTGGGAGGCCCGCTCCCTCGAGGCTCTCTTCTGCTCCCTGAAGTAAAAGCAAAGCAATTCTGGGAGGGAAAATGGGGAGCAGTCGCATGTAGAGCCCCTCACCTCCCCCTGCAGAGGGCGCCGTCAACCATGGTGGTCCTGTTCGGGGAAGATCCAGGGGGCGGGGAGTGTTGCAGCTCCCCCACAGGAAAGCAGCCCCCGGGGCAAGGGCTGCAGCTTGCCAGGCCTCGAGGGGCCAAGGTGGATCATGGCGACAGTGCAAGCTGTGGCAACCCAGCCAGACATGCAGAGGGTGATGGAACAGAGGAGGAGGAGGAAGACTATGAGGACTTGGAGGACTTCTCAGAGCTGCCAGACACGCGCAGCATCGCTTCTGATGACTCCTTCTACCCGCCACTGGGTGGCAGCGATGACGATGATGACGACTGGTCGCTGGGGGAGTCGGAACCTGACAGCCCGGAGCCGCTCAGCCTCTTCCGTGCCTGCTGCACCAACAACGCTATCGTTCTGAGGGCGCTGATCCGCCAAGGGCCCGAGGAGGACGAGGTGCGGGAGACTGACCACAACAAGCGGGTGAGAGGCTGGGGGGGGGAACTGTTGGGTTAAATGTAAAAACAAACAAACAAAAAACCCATTTGCCTTGGAAGCAGAGAAGCTTTACACAGCAACCCCAACCCTCCATGTTTCCACAATTAAAGGAAAACTGTTGTTACAAACAAATTACAAAGATGATCTGGCTCCAATGGTAACAAGAGAAAGAAATTTTACTTACAAAAATAGAAACCCATCTTGCATGACATAGTCACATAGGTGCATATAACTTATTATAACTTATAACAGATTAACTTCAAAAAGGTTAACTTGCTATTGCTCCAAGCCCAGGTAAGAAAGAGAAGAAGAGAGGCCCTATATAAGATGAAAAACAGAAAGCAAATAAGGGCCAAAGAGGCTCAGCATCTAAGCAATGAGAGGTTGGGCCCAACTGCCAATGTGTCTGAGAGAGAGAGAGAGAGAGAGAGAGAGAGAGAGAGAGAGAGAGAGAGAGAATTCTCTTAACCCTTTCCCTCCCAGATCCTCTTGCAAAATCCTCTTGCATGCAGAATTACAATATCCGACACCCCTTCTCAAGTTTCAGCTTCTATTGTAGTTTTTCAAATCTGTCATAAGAACATAAGAACATAAGAGACGCCAATGTTGGATCAGGCCAAAGGCCCATCCAGTCCAACACTCTGTGTCACACAGTGGCCAGAAATACCAGTGCCATCAGCAGGTCCAGCAGTGGTGCCAGGACATTAGAAGCCCTCCCACTGTTGACCCCCCCAAGCACCAAGAAGACAGAGCATCACTTGCCCCAGAGCCCCTATCTATACCTTGTGGCTAATAGCCACTGATGGACCTCTGCTCCATATGCTTATCTAATTCCCTTTTGAAGCCGTCCATGCTTGTAGCACCCACCACTTCCTGTGGCAGTGAATTCCATGTGTTAATCACTCTTTGGGTGAAGAAGTACTTCCTTTTATCCGTTCTAACCCGACCGCTCTGCAGTTTCATGGAGTGCCCACGAGTTCTTGTATTGTGAGAAAGGGAGAAAAGTACCTCTTTCTTTACCTGCTCTTTCCCATGCATAATCTTATAAACCTCGATCATGTCACCCCTCAGTCGTCTTTTCTCCAAGCTAAAGAGCCCTAAGCGCTTTAACCTTTCCTCATAGGGAAAGTGTTCCAACCCTTTTATCATTCGAGTTGCCCTTTTCTGCACTTTTTCCAAAGCTATAATATCCTTTTTAAGGTGTGGTGCCCAGAACTGCACACAGTATTCCAAATGAGGTCTCACCATTGATTTATATAGGGGCATTATTATATTGGCTGATCTGTTTTCAATACCCTTCCTAATAATCCCCAGCATAGCATTGGCCTTCTTTATTGCAGTCACACACTGTCTCGACATTTTCAGTGAGTTATCCACTACAACTCCAAGATCTCTCTCTTGCTCAGTCTCTGCCAGTTCAGACCCCATCAATGTGTATTTATATTTAGGATTTTTGGCTCCAATGTGCATCACCTTGCACTTGGCCACATTGAACCCCATTTGCCATGTTGACGCCCACTCGCCCATCCTTGACAGATCCCCTTGGAGTGCCTCACAATCCTCACTGGTTTTCACCACCCTGAACAACTTTGTATCATCCGCAAATTTAGCCACTTCACTGCTTACTCCCATCTCCAAATCATTAATGAACAAGTTAAAAAGCAGTGGACCAAGTACTGATCCCTGCGGTACCCCACTGCTTACCACCCTCCACTGAGAAAATTGCCCACCTACACTCACTCTCTGTTTTCTATGAACTAGCCAGTTTTTGATCCATAAAAGGACTTGTCCTTCTATCCCATGATTTTTGATCTTACTTAGGAGCCTTTGATGAGGAACTTTATCAAAAGCTTTCTGGAAGTCAAGGTAAACAATATCTATTGGATCCCCCTTGTCCACATGTTTGTTCACCCCCTCAAAGAACACTAACAGGTTAGTGAGACAAGATCTTCCCTTACAGAAACCGTGCTGAGTCTGCCTCAATAGGTTTTGTTCATCTATGTGCCTACTAATTCTTTCCTTAATAATGGTTTCCACCAATTTACCCGGTATCAACGTCAGACTGACTGGCCTGTAATTTCCCGGATCTCCTCTGGAACCCTTTTTAAAGATGGGAGTGACATTAGCTACCTTCCAATCCTCAGGAATGGAGGCAGATTTTAAGGAAAGATTACATATCTTTGTCAGGAGATCCACAAGTTCACATTTGAGTTCTTTCAGAACTCTCGGATGTATGCCATCTGGGCCTGGTGATTTATCAGTTTTTAAGTTGTCTATCAGTTTTAGGACCTCCTCTCTCGTTACCTCAATCTGACTCAGGTCTTTCAACACCCCTCTTGAAATCAGTGGTTCTGGAGTGGGCAAGCACTTCTCATCTTCCACAGTGAAGACAGAGGCAAAAAATTCATTTAGCTTCTCAGCAATTTCCCTATCATCCTTCAATACTCCTTTTACCCCTTGGTCGTCCAAGGGCCCCACTGCCTTGATAGTGGCTAGATCAGGATGTCAGCCACCATATCTTCTGTTGAACAGTACCCCATCTCTATTATGCCTTCTCAATTAAATCACGAAACTTCACACCAACGTGCTTAGTGCATGCGACAATTTTTTTTAACTGAGAAATCTTAATGGCGCTCTGGTTGTCTTCTTTAAGTTGAATTGGCTTTTGCTCATCAACTCCAAAGTCTTTTAGTAATGGGTCTAATCACAACAGTTCTCTGCATGCTTCAGCAGGTGCTATATCTTGGAAGACAAACTTACTGTAGCTTACTTTCTATTGGCCGACCTCAATATATGTCAGACCCCAGAGGAACCACTCTTCATGCAATATCCCTTAATAAGATTAAGGTAAGATTTGGGGTTCTGGTAAGGTTAACACCTTTGTCAGAACTAACAAGCAATAGCACAGGGTCGGTAATTGGGGAATGGGCTCCACCCTCTCTGTCATACGTCACACATGCACAGGCTTACTACAGGTCATGAAAGAGTATACGACCTAACTAGCCATGTCTCAAGTCTTATCGCTCCCAAGGTTATTGGTCCAGCTGGAACCTGTGAACTGTATGGGGGTAGCTTCGGGAAAATTACGAGCGGCACCTCCACACAACACTAGGCACTCATTCGCACCCACCCACCCTCAGGAATGTCAGGGAGGACTTATAAGGTAACAAGCAAGCGGGCAGATGTGCACAGTGGGCAGAGTTTAAGAAATCGAAAGTAAGAATTAGCAATACAAGGCAATAAAGTCACAAGCATTGATCAAGAAGGGGTCCGATCCTGACATACCGCCCCCCTTAAACTCACCCTTCCCCTGGTTTCTCAGGATACAACTTATGAAACCTTCGCAGAAGGGTGGGGGCCCTCACATGTTTAGATGCAACCCATTCATTTTCTTCAGGACCAAAGTCTTTCCATTTAATCAGATACTGTAACTGCCCACGAGACAAACGGGAGTCCAAGATCTTCTCAACAACATGGTGGGGTTCCCCATCGATTGGAAGAGGAGGCAGAGCTGGAGGCTTGTGTGCCCAAGGCGAAGGGCCTGGGTCCCGTTTCAGGAGCCTATAGTGAAACACAGGATGTAGAGAACGCAAAGATTTAGGGATGTCAAGTTCAACAGCCACTTTGTTGATGACATGCACTACCTTAAAGGGTCCCACATATTTCCACCCCAACTTCCATCGCGGTTGCAGTCCCTTTATGTGTTTGGTGGAAATGTACACGGAGTCTCCCGGGGCAAGATCCCACTCCAGGCATCTCTTCCCATCAACAAATTTCTTATAGTCTCGTTTTGCTTTCTCTAAAGTCTCTTGGAGCACTTCCTAGTTTTTTTGTGACATTGGACCACCATAATTGAGCATCACCAGTAATAGATTTGGTCAGGTCAACCATAGGAAGAGGCCCTCCTTCATATCCATGTACTGCTTTGAAGGGGCTCATGCTAATCGAGTTATTGTAGCTGTATTCGGCAAAGGGCAATAAGGAGACCCAGTTATCCTGTTGATAGTTCATATAACACCGTAACACCTGCTCCAGGACTTACTCCGTTCAGTCTGCCCATCTGTCTCAGGATGGTAGCTACTACTCAACCCACGCTCAACAACCCAGGAGCTTCATGAGCTCCTTCCAAAATTTGGCAATGAATTGTGAGCCGCGGTCGCTCATGACCTTCTTTGGTAATCCATGCAATCTGATCACGTTTTGTAGGAAGAGGGTGGCTAATTGCTTAGCAGTGGGTATGCTTTTACACGGTATGAAATGAGCCTGTTTAGAGAAAAGATCCACCACTACCCAAATCCCCATTCTGCCCCCAGCAGCTGCGTGCCACGATGTGTCTGGCCACCAGAACTGCCTCTGAATAAGGTGCAAAGTTTTCAAGTACCCAAAATGTCCAGAAAGCTTACTATCTTAACTCTGGGACAGGATTTCCCATCGCATTGTGAGGGGTACACATACTTTCTCCCCTTTACAGCATGTACCATTATCCTGATGTTGCAGACCTTCCCGGACAACCAGCTCAAGGTCCTGTGCCGAGAAGGCAGCCTTAAACTCCTCCAGCCATCCTGGGCTCTCCACCGCCTCCCTTTTCTTGACTTGGCTATGTGTTAGTACTGCCCCTCCCAGCTGCGCCAGGGAGAAGAAAGTATCAGTCACCTCCTCCCTCTGACTTGCGTGTTGCGGGAGATGGGATAAATCATCGGTTGGAAGTTGGACTTCCCTGAGAGGTATTTGATGGTGAACCGAAATCTTGAGAAGAACTCAGCCCACCGCGCTTGCTTAACATTGAGGCAGCGAGGGGTTCTGAGTGCCTTCAGGTTTTTATGATCAGTCCACACCTCAAAAGGCACACGGGCACCTTCCAACCAATGACGCCACATTGTGAGCGCCAACTTAACGGCTGCAGCTTCCTTGTCCCGAACTGTTTAATTCCTTTCTGCCCCTGAGAATTTCTTAGACACATATGCCAGGGGTTAGTTTGCTGTCCCTCCCCTTCTGCAGGATAGCCATGTCAGATATGATCTGCTTCAAATCCTCTCCTTTAGCTTCAGAAATCCCCTGGAATCTCAGGACATAGCTTGCCTTTTCCATTTGGAGCTGTAAAAGCTGAGCCTCATCAGTTGCTCTCTTTTTCTCCATCACCTGCATTTGTTTTTTGAGTTTCTGAGTATTGGCATCCACTTCTTTGAGTCCTTGTTCCATTTTCTCTGTCTTTTTAGTGATTCCATTTAATTGACTTTGTTGTACAACGAATTTTTGTTGTAACAACATCATTTGTTCCAGCAGGGGGCGCAAAGCCTCATTCAGCATACCTTGGAAGTCTGTAGTAGTGTCCCATCTAGTAGTGGAACTCGCTGGGCTGGCATTTCTGGCCGAAAGCTTCAGTTTCGCTTCTCCTTCTCCTCCTTCTTCGGTGCCATCTTTGAGAATTGTTTACGTTTTAAATTTCGTTATCACAGTCTCTTAAGGCTCTGGAAATGCTTGATAAGTTCTTTAAATATCTTTATTGTAGTTTATTCGCTTTTAAAGACCGTCCCACTTTATGGCTTCATTTAAAAGTTCAGGGGTTTTTCCCTCATGAGGGGGAGTTTCCCCCCCCCTCGGTTTGGTAAAGGGGGGCTTTCAGCTTTCTTTTTGATGTCTTCGCTTCAACAAACACTCACATTGTATGGTAGAGGTCGCCTCCTTCATTTTGCTCATCCGGCCACCAAGCGCTTGTCCCGGTGTGCATCCCCGAGTCCCTAAGGAGATTGGCAGCGGGACCATTGGGGCAGGAAGCGGCCCCCCTTCGCAGGCTGTTTGCCGGAGGAAGGGCCCTCCAAGCACCCCATGACTAGGAGCCCAACACGAGGGCTCTGGGGGGGATGCAGACCACCCCACTACCTCCCATCTGCCGAATCAAGGCTCGAGTCTCCCGGAGCGCCGGGAGATCGCGGCCGCCATTAAGGGAGCCAAAACTGGAAGCCACAAATACTTGTAATTCTGACCAGCCTAGAGGTGCTCCAATGGAAAGAGGCCAGCTCAAACTATACTACCCATCTTGTACCAATTAGGGATTCACTTAAGTGTAAACTATAATGATGTAATTTGGGGTATAAGAAGAAGAAGAGAGTGGATTTATACCCCACCCTTCACTACCCAAAGGTGTCTCAGAGCAGTTTACAAACTCCTTTCCCTTCCCCTCCCCACAACAGACAGACACCCTGTGAGGTAGGTGGGACTGAGAGAGCTCTTGACAGAAACTGCTCTTTTTCAAGGACAGCTCTTATCAGAACTACGGCTTGCCCAAGGTCATCCAGCCAGGTACAAGGGGAGGAGTGGGGAATCAAACCCGGTTCTCCCAGATTAGGGTCCGCGCACTTAACCACTTCACTACTGCCCTTCCTGGTTGGGGCAGAATACAGCTTGGTGTTACAGGGTGCCAAGGTATCCAGTCCTGTATTTTCCTGATTATTGCAATAAACAGATTTTATCCAATTTGCTGGACTCCGACTGTGTGTTCCTCATCTGACCCCAGGAGCACATGGGGCACAGATTTGTGCATCACAGTGGAAAAGAGCAAGAGTCCAGTAGCACCTTAAAAACTATACCGTTGTTTTCTTATTCAGTTCTTATCCAACGCAATGGGGCCTCTGCAGGATAACTTCCTTGCAACCAGTTCCTTCATTTTCATCTCCTCTTCCTCAAGAAATAATCAAGACATATCCCCCAGATTCAAATATATACTACCATATTGAGTGCAGTTACAGTCTTATCACATCTGGACCACATGCAAGAAAAAGCAATAACTACAACTATGGGACTCCTCAAGGAAAGCCCAGTACTAGAATTATTCAGATGAAAGAGTAAAGTATATTTGTTGCTGTTTAAGCATGCTGTTCTGAGCCGACCTACCCAATATAATTATTTCCTGTGATTCAGTGCTGTCTTTTATTTTTCTTCTACAGAGTTATTTTTATTGTTTTATTAATTTTTTGTATTTGTGTTCTTGATAGTTCCTTTGGGCTTCTGGGAAGAAGGAGAGTCAGATTTAGAAGGGATAAAAATGGCACTTGGAATTCTCTGGTAGCTATAGTTTGCATGAATTCCCCTATACAAAAGAATAAAATCTGAAATAAGTTTGAGGTTCAGACTCTTCTCTTCATGTAGAAATGAAACCATTTCTTTCTCTTTAACCCCCTACCTATTTTTTTTAACTTGTAGACTGGCCTTATTATTGCCTGTTACCAGGGGTTTGTGGATATCGTAATTGCCTTAGCACAGTGCCCTCATATTGACATAAACTGGCAGGACAATGAAGGGAACACAGCTCTCATTACAGCTGCCCAAGCAGGTAAGGAAGTTTGCTCCTCATTTTATTTTTATGTCTAGTGGTGCTTACGTGTATGTTTGTCATCATGCCATTATGCCAAGTCATTGTGCTGATGTGTCAGAGTGTATTTCAGTGGGTTTTTCTTCAATGTTTGATTTTGGGCTCAGTGTGTGCCAAGTACTGTCCCCGCGCTCCTTTCCAATTCCGTTTTCATGTTCTAATGCAGCCCGACCTTATAAGTTACCAGTCTGTCATTGATTTAACGTGCACAAGTCTCCATTGGCTGGATTAGATGTCCTGGAAATAACTAATACTTTTTTATTAAATGGAGAGAGGGAGATGAGCTGTCTATACTTCACAAAACTTTCATTCTTTTAGAGTTTTTAAAAATGTGACTTAAATTTTTGAGGAATAATAATATAATAATAATAAAAGCAGCTTGAAATGCAGCAGGTGAGCTAAACATTTAAAGAAAAAAGTCAAAAATTATGTTGTCAGCACAAGCCCAGGAAGCCTCTCCTGGCCGTGGTGCTTCAGAGGTTTGGCTCACAAACAAGAAGGGCATTTGGGCAGCTCCTCTGGGGTGGGTAGCGTTACTGGAAGAGAGTCTGAGTCCAGTGGGGGCACCTTCAAGACCAGCAAAGTTTAATTCAAGGCATAAGCTTTTGTGTGCAAGGCACACTTCTTCAGGTCCAGTGAAAGAGAATCTCCTCAACCATTCCATGTAGAAAGAGAGAGGGTGGGGGGGTTAGTTGCCAGGAAGGACCAATTAGACAGAGACAAAGACAGAGACAGAAACAAAATTGGAAATTACCAATATATACATATAAGTTGATGGTGGGCAGTAAACTATTATACAGCATAATTAAGATCTTTAACAGACACAAGGATCAAACAGGAATAATAATCTTAGTTTATATGGTAACCATTTGTTTGGGTTCAGTTCTGGGGCAAAAACATGGAAATAAATATGTCAAAATTGGAGACTGATGTATCCTTGATTGTAGAATGCTGAGAGTAATTAATTGAGACCCTGCCATCTGTCTCCTCCCAGACTTGGACGCAACTTTACAGCATCTTCTTTGAACTGGGAAAACTGGCTGAACAGAGGGGATGGATCAGAAACATGTAGAATACAGGAAATGAAAGTCTTAGTAGAAAACTTTTATAAAGAGCTATACAGGTCCCGTTCACACGCGGCGATTTGGGCCAGTTGCGGGCCAGTTTGGGGGCGGATCAAAGCAGCGCGATCACACCACCACATCTGGGAAGCGTTCTGCTTCCGCACCCGAACTGGCCCAAACCCGGGAAGAACCGCCGCAAAATGAACCACCTACCTCGGTGGTTCAAGTGGACGCGGCGCTTCTTCCCGGGCGTCTGATCG